TAATCGACGATGTCATTGACGTGTTGTCAGTCGTTAGCTGTGATGGATAAGTTGGTATATTGTGTAATTTGAAAAAAATCTTTTGATCTCGATAGATTTTATCGGCAAAACTACACAAAAATTTTTCGACATCACCTAGCGTAAATTTTGAGATAACACAGCGTGGGTATTGTTCAAATCCAAACTTCTTACAAAATGTTTCATCATCATTGAAAGGACAGTTTTTCACTCTATCACAAAGTTTATTGACGTCAATATATTTTGTATCGTTCCAACAACGAAAATAATACTTGACAATGATCGGAGAAGAAGATATATGATACCGCCTCCGTTCATCTGTTCCACCGAGACAATCATAAACACCATTATTTACTTTAGTAATTGGTAAACATGACACTTTAGATGTATCATTTGGGAAAACACATTCATGATAGAGTTCAGGACAAGTCGAAGATGGACAATTAACTTCATCAGCTCCATCTTTACACGACCAAAATTGATCACATCTAGAGTAAGTATTATTACATGGCCAATAATGACATTGTGTCTCATCTGTTTCATTTTTTCCATCAATCAATACAGGTAACAATTCTGTTATTCCATCACATATCGCTTGAAAATAAATATGCTTCTCTATCATCTGTTGCTTTTTATTGCTTTCGTCTTCGCCATATTTGCAATCTTTCTTTCCATCTTGAATAACTAATGATGCAAAACATTTTTCATTGTTATCATTTGAACATCTAAAACGTTGACGAATATCGTTAAGCGAACAACTTTGATTAAATGTTTCATCATCATCAAATGGACAGTCAGGAATGCCATCAAGAAGACGTTGCTTTGAAATACATTTTGATGATTTTTCACATCGATACATTGTTGAATAATTACAATAATATGTAAAATTAGTGACTGCTAAACATTTATGAAATCGTCCTTTGACATTTTCAACGAATCTTTCCAAATTATCGTGTAAATCTGTAATATTCAATCCTAACTCGCTCAAATGGCGACAAGTCAAATTATCAAAACGTTTTGTAGCCGGAAGAAAGTCTAAACAAAGCTTTTCATCATAACACACATAGGATGGTAGATAAAAACTACCAGGGTTGAATCCTTTGTTCGAATACAAGAAACGTACATGCCCGAAAAGGAGAGGAAGAAAATGAACATCATACAGGATTGAACAATTGTTTTTCATACAGTTAGAATTTGAACAAAATTTGGAACACCATTTAGCATCGACTACTTCATCAAGTTTCATTAAACAGGCTGTGGCGTTGGAGCAAAAATCATTTGGTAAAAGGCTGCTACGACCATTTTGACATCTGTTTATTCCATTTGTACATGATCCATCACCACATGAAAACTCTCTTTCTCCTGGCCGACACATATGTTCTTCGCAACGAAAGGCGAGATCTGTATCGCAGTCTCTGAGAGAATATAATTCTCTGCCTTCGTCCGTTCGATCTAAACAATCTGGATTGGATAAATCATCACGAACAAATTCAACTGGAATACACTGGCCATTGTGACATCGGTATTCATTGTCAGCACATCCATTAACTTCAAGTTGCCAACAAGTGCTCTCATCAGAACCATCTAAACAATCGCTTTTACCATCACAAATCTCTCGCCAATCTAAACATGATAGTTTCGTTTGACAATACAGATGTTTGTAACATGTCACCTTGGATTTATCACTATCTCCTGGTGTCTGTAAAAAGGCTTCAAAGACAAGGTCATAAAACTCCACATTTATATCAGAATCGAACCTGAAGCGACAAAAAGGTCCGAACCATGATGATGTACAATTATAAAACAATACTGCCTTTTCAGACGGTAGGTTTGAATCGTTGTTTAGAAATATTTGATATCGTTCAGCCAAATCGATGGAAGTGGACCATGAAAGTAACTTGTGACTGGTGATATTCTGCTCTTTTAAGTCAGCGAAAGTAAAACTAGGATCATTTATACCTTTGAAAGCAAAGTTGGTGATGAAATTGTATTTTTCTGATGGTCGAAGACAAAACAACATTATCTGATGGATTTGGAAGGATGCTGAATTATAATTAGAAGAAGGAGAGGTATCCTGCATGTAATAATAAAGACAGTGTCCATCTAAATAAGTATTAGTATTATACATATTGAACTGATATGTTGGCACCCCTTGAATTTTCCCTATGATAAACATGCATAGTAGCAACATGTTACACATGACGAGAGGCATCTAAAAAAATGAATAACTACAATTTTTATTTGTTTCCCTTCTCTCTGAATGGTTTATTATGTCTCAATGCGCAACTGACACGTTCAGCTAAACTATCATTATGATAAATCACATAGTTTTTTTCTTTCTCTCTGCAGTAGGTGACATCCATGACTTACGAAATACACATATCTAATGTTATTGTTGACAAAGCCTGATTTTAAATACTTTTTTCTATTCATATGATGTCAGACTTCGAATAGATAGAATTTTTTTCAACCGAACCAGACTGGTCGGTTAGCGACCGGTTCAATTACAGAATTCAACCGGCGATAAAACTTGTCCGTTTAATATATCAATTAATCAACCAGTTCTTTTCAGAAAATATTTATTACTACAGCTGCATGAAGACATACAATGTGAAACTAGTATAAGTCTCAAAATTTCTAATAATAACAACCTCTATTTTACTCTGTAATATTCTATATATGCTAATGCTAATGAGAGAACCGCCCGAGATGTCCAACGCCGATTCCCTTCATTCATGGGTTATTTGATAGTGGGTATCGAGATAGTAAAAAGCTTAAGGGTGTAGGCGTGTGGGTTAGACATCGGCGTGACCATAAAGTCGTGACCAAAGAAAAAAAGATTGTCCGATAATAATTTTCATGTTGAATATGACAAAAATACTTTTAGTTTGATCCTTTTTATTCAGAAGTTTTTCCTCTATAAAATGGTGTTTAAAACTTGTGAATACAATAATCTGCGCGAGAGAAAACAACGGTACATTTGTCGTGACCAGAAGTTTCCGCGACGGATCGTGACTAGGACTGGTCACGACAAATGTATCGTTATTTTCTCTCGCGCAGATTATTGTATTCCCAAGTTTTATACATCATTTTGTAGAGAAAGAAATTCTGAATACAAAGGATCAAATTAAAAGGATTTTTGTCATATTCAACCTGAAAATTATTATTGGACAATCTTTTTTTCTTTGGTCACGACTTTATGATCATGCCGATGTCTAGTGTGGGTGACGGTGTGAGTGTGAGCGTGGGTGTGGGTGTTTTCTTTCACCTAACACACTCACATCTACGCCCACATCCACACTGCAATCATATCAACACTATTTGTATTTTTAGTGAGAACTTGTATATTACAACTATGACATGCTTTTATGACTTGGTAATACAGCATAATCTATAATACTAATGGGTAGTCCATACATACTGAGACACTTTCGTTTTCTTTTCCTAACAATCAAAAGTATACTCTAAAGGCTACACTCTTAGTTCATTTGCTACATGCTACTGAGTGTTCCGCTCTTCCAAACAACCTACTTTGCTTTGATATAAGCTTTTCTTGCGATCCAAACTGAAAGTACTTATTGGAGCCCAACAGATCAGCTGCGATGACTTGACAATCAAAATTGATCAATCATTTACGAAAGAAAAGTTCGCCCAAAATTTGAAATATGCTACAAGATTCTCCACATAATTCCCTATCTGTGGATGTATGTTAACAAATTTTCGAAAAAATATATACAAGAAATTTTTGTAAATAACAATTGGAAACTCCTGTAAGAGACTCTTTTCTACACTGTAAATAGTTTCGCCCATAGTAGAAAACTTGAAAAAAGTTTCGATTTTTGAAATGAATTCTAAACCTTTTTTGGATTTCGTAGCAAATCTATGAAATCTATAAAAAAAAAGTATCCTCAACCGTTGGCAATTACTTTGAAGATGACTTAGAATTTTATGAAACCTTTTTGGGAACTTCGATTTCGTTTTAAAAAAGGTTCTGTAATCATACCATTTTTTTCAGTGTAGTAGACCTCATCAATAGTTGTTCTTGCTATAGAACTATCTAAATATTCTCTTTGTCCAGTTTAAGTTTTACAACATTTTCTTCAGGCTTAAGTTTTAAATGAGATGATGTGCTAGTGAATTTTTTTATGGTACGCGTCGAACTTAAATGATTGTAACATAGTAAGATATTTATTTTGTTTTCCTCGTCTTTCGTTTCTGCCCTTCGCTTCAGGCCAACGTTCGCACACATATATGTATGTATTGTTTCACTCTTTGATGTTGAGTTGTTCTTTCATTTCTCTTTTCTTTGTTTTTCTTTTTCCTCTAGTTTTGAATAAACTACACATTTGATCTTGACCTTTCCTTTTCTATTTACGTAATAAGAATTACGTAACAATAATGCTTTCGAGAGTACATCTGAAATAAATCACCAGATGTTAGTTCCAAGTCCTTGAATTTTGGAAAACATCATCATGTGCCTTGCGATGATGCTAGAAGCATATAGAGCATTAAATTCTCTATTCATTGACGCCAAACATTTCTCATGTTAAACAGAAGTTGATGCCACAGAAGCTTTCACAAATCAATCAATACTCATCGAAAATATCGAAAAATGCAGTTGGGTACCTAAGTACTATCTAGTCTTTTCGATTTTGCGCCCATAAGAAAAATTTACCTGAAAAATGACGATCGATAATTACAAAGCAGAAAATGTTCTGTCTGTTGAGATTAGTATAATATGTTTGAAGTAAGCTAATAATTTCCAGAAAAAGAAACTACAAGTATCCCATTCTTTATAAGTCACCCATTATAAATCAGGACGGTTTTTCTCGACTACAATTCAGCAACTTGAAATCACAGTTTGTTATTGCCAATCTATACATTTTCATTTGTAGTTCGCCTTGAAATATTTTTTTCGAAAGTTAATTCGGTTATATAATATATTCTAGCAGTCTACAGTGGGATACGCATATTGTTTGAGAAGGCTTTGAAAAGAGATTTCTTTGAGATCTATTGGTTTTTATAGCAAAAAGAATAGTTTCTTGCATTATAAATCATTTTGCTTTTTCCCAATCAATATCATGCTTATTCTTTCTCATCATTGTTTCTCTTCTTGCATATCCAATAATGCTAGACGCTCACATGAAATGTTGGATCAGAGTTAGGCTTTGATTCCAACACAATTTTTTCTCAAGACGGGGCGAAGCGAGGTGGGAATCAAAAAATCCTCTCGTTTCAGACTCTGATTAAAGTAGCTTTGAAGCATAATGCTTCATTTATTTGTCAGATTTACAAGTTTTGATACTAAGAAAAAGAAGGTTATTAAAATAGCTTTTCTATACATGCGTCCACGAAAAACTTTACTATTTGTTTGTCTTCAATCTATATAACACGATTATGTTCTATTAAAAGTTAAGTTGTTTACACTGAAGATTCATTTTAAGAATATTGAGATTGTTGAAACTTTATAAAAATTCAATGATAAGTCATAATTAAAAATCAAATCATTTGATTCTCTATTTAGATTCACCTCGACAAAAAAATTCACAGATATTTCCTTCGTAGTCACATAACGGTTTCGTATACGAGCGTTTACGACTTTTGTAAT